GGGGCGGGGAGAGAGGAGTGGAAACATAAAGAGCAGCGCTCTGCGCGCGGAGGGCGGGGCTCCGGCTTCCCTGGGCGCGCCCTGGAAGGAGAGGCGCAGTCTCCGCGAAGGCCTTTGCCCACGCTCAGCTGCCAGTGTCTGGTTTCCAATTCCGCCCTCTCGGCTGGTTGGGGCGGTAGTAACCTGGGTGCCAGCGACTAGTAGTAGCAGGAGTCCGCTGAGCAACAGGAGCCCCAGAAAGAGCGAGAAACGGCAGAGAGAGCGCCGGGGATAATAGAGGCGGGGAGCGAGGAAGGGTTCCGTGGAGCCCGCGCCCTTTCCTGGGCCAGATTCTGCAGGTTCACTGGGTGGGCATGATCGGCGGGCAAGGTTGCAAGTAAGTGCCTTTTTCTTTTGCTCCTCTGGTGTGGCGGGAAGGGAAGGCGCCAGCCTTTCGCCACTGCTCGACTCAGCCGCCACACCCACCTGTGTCCATTTTCCATCTCTCGGTTTTGGCTATCCTGTGTTACGCACCTGTAAAGTAGAGAGGAGTGAAGCTTGGCGGAGGACAGTGGGGATGGCCCCAGCAATTGGATGAAGAGAAGCTAGAAAGGCAACAATTTCAATTGCAAGGCCCGCCCTTTGCCGGGTTTGACTTTGTGAGTTTGTCTCCAGGGTCTGAAAATGTGGAGAGGAAAGGCAGAGATGCCTGAAGTCTACTGTCTCATTTCTTTCAGACTTCGCTAGCGGAGTTGTTAGATGGGTTTTGGCTCCAGTGTTAGGTCATATACTCTTACGGAGCAAAACGCGTTCGTTAAAAATATTTCTCATCTGCAAAGCTGCGCGAGCGAAACCAGCATAACCGATACTACTTGTGGGGAGAGCGAAGCGCCGCACCCCTTAGGAGCACGCAAGCGATTTTAAAAAGGCTGCTTAGCGTGGATTTCTCAAGGCAGTTTATTAATTTTTTTTAACGAATAAGCATTTTATAGAGAAATTCAGATAACATTCAGAATCATTTCAACTTCGTATTTGACTTCAGCTGAAACTGTCACTTTAAAAAAATAGATAATTTTGTTACTTGTATTAAAGACAATTAAAAGATCAAAACAAGATTGTTGTTGTTGTTAGGTGCCATGGAGTTGGTTCCGATTCATAGTGACCCCGTGTACAGCAGAACAAAATCTCACCCGGTCCTGCGCCATCCCCACAATCGTTGCCATGTTCCAGCCCATTGTTACAGCCTCTGTATCAATCCATCTCCTTATCAGTCTTCCTCTTTTTCGCTGACCCTCTACTTTACCAAGCATGATGTCCTTCTCCAGGAACTGGTACCTCCTTATAACATGTCCAAAGTGCATGAGACAAGTCTAGCCATCCTGGCTTCTATAGGGAATATTCTGGCTGTACCTTTCAAGACAGATTTGTTTATTCTTCTGGCAGCCCATGGTATATTCAATGTAAAGCAAGATTACCAAACTAGAAATTTTAATGCCAGCTTTTTAAAGTGATTTAGCAAAGAGTTCACTTATTAATTTAGCACTTTTGAAAAAGTTCAGTTTTTCATAGTAATTTATATCTCCTCTGAAGTTAAGAGCAATTTTCATGTGAGAGTAGCTTAGGGATGTTTTTAAAAAGCTCACTTCGCTAGATAAAGAGCAAATCAACAAGCTTTTAAAGGAATGATGGATTTTCAGTTGCTGAGTGTGAAGTCAGTGTCTGGAGGTTCAGTTTTCAGAAACACAACTAATGTTATTCTGTATTTCTCTTCTCGGTGGGCAGGAGGAAGTTACCACTCTTTGTTGTTTGTTCCTGGTAATTTAAAATATATTTTCATGAATTTTGTTTTGACATCGATAAAATCTATCTAAATATAGGCTGGTAACCCTGGTGGCATAGCGATTAAGATTTCAGCTGCTAACCAAAAGGTCAGCAGTTTGGATCCACCAGATGCTCCTTGGAAATACAGGCTACAGACCAACTCCAATGATTCAGTTGCCCATTTTCACATGCTTTTCCCACTATTTTTAAAATTTAAACTAGAATTCACTTTCTTAGAAACTATGGTAAGTAGAATTTTGTTAAGTTTTATTGATTATTTGAAAGCTGGTATTATCTGATCCCTTTGTATGGAATAATCATGATTATTAGAATAGCTTATTCACAAAAAATGCTAGACAAAATGACATTAGATGTAATCTATTCACGCAACTGAGATCTTAGTTTTGCTTAAAATAAACTTTCTTTTTATGTAGGTTTTTAAATAGTTGTTTTTGGAGGTTCCCTTTTAGAAGTGATCCATTGTGCAGTCATGGGACACAGTGACGTGTTTCTACAGAGGCCAAGTTTGCAATATGCCGTGATTCTTATGGTGCAGGTCAGGGCTCACCCAGTACCTGATTTTTTTCTACAGAAGAAAGATGAGTCAGGTCTGGCTCTTTCCCAAAAGCATTGCTGTGCCTCCATTCCTCTCCTAGGATCAGGAGGTAGTCATGGGAGCTCGCCTGTGATAGTACTTCTGTGTTTTTGCTACCTGTTGCTGAAGTGAGTTTTGGCAGCAAAGAAAAAATCAGAGGTAGAATCAGTAGGGGTCCTAGCCACTTTATTTAATATGACCAATCCACTTTTTCTGTCAAGGAAAAAAAAAAAGAATTGTATTTTGTATAGGTGATACATTTATCTAATTCCTATTCCTATGAGGTATGTGAGAGAGTGTGAAGTGCTAGAAGGATTGCACGGTATTCTTCTAAGACAAGGCATGACGTTGTAAAGAAGCTTAAAGATTATTATTGTAGATGAATCATGCTAAATGTCATAATGGTAATAACTTTTGATTTTCCCTAAAACTCTGTCTCAGGTCCTCTACCCCCAGTTTTTCATTATCTTAGTAAATGGCTCTACCAGCTACCAAGTGTTCAAGTCACTTTTGATTGCTCTTTTTCTCATGACCCCATTTCATCCCTATCCAGTCCATATTGAGTTTTACCAATCTTATCTCCCAAATGTATCTCTATGCAATCATACTTCTCAGATATATGTCTTCCACTTTCTCTTCTGTATCAAACTACCAACAGATTAGTTTAGGTCATCATCACAATTTACCTGGAACACTGCTACAGTCTTCACGTTGGTCTCTTTGCTTCCATACTTTAGACCCCTGCAGTCCACTCTCCATTCAGAGCAATGACATCACGTCTCTCCTTAAAATCATCCGCTGGCTCATGATTGCGTAGAAAAAGGAATAAACACAAACACAGAAACTAACAACAACAGCAAACTCTTTCTGGTAACATACAGGTTACTCCCTGACCTGGCCATCTTTTCAACCTCATCTGAATGCACCTCCCCAGCCTCCACTTTTCATTTATATGCTCCTGCCATGCTGGTCTTCTGTACTTGGAACACAGAGAACAGTTTCCTTCCTTTGAAAAGCCTCCCAGATGTTGTTCCCAGTGCCTGGACTATTCCCCTCTCTTTGCTGGGCTAGCTCCTTCTCAAAATTTAAGTATCAGCTTAAAGGTCTCTTCCTCAGACATATGTCTTGATCAACTTGTCAAAAGTAGGTTGCCCCCTGTTAATTCTCTATTTTGGTGTCTTGTTTGTTCCCTTCAAGTGCTTATTACAGCATGCAGGTATTTTGTGGACTTGTATGCTGAATGCTCCAAGGGAAGGGAGACAATGTCTTTGTTGTTGACCCAACTTCGGGAACAGTGTCTGGTATACAGCAGTAAGGGGTTTGTAGATACTTATGTAAAGAATAACTACAAAGATATGAATTATTTCACCAGAGTGCATAAACCAAGTAAAATCAGGCAATTTGTGATTATATATGTATCGATTATCTGGTATGTTATATTTACAACTCTGTGCTATGATTTTGAGGCGGTGAAATGAAAATGTCCTGCGATGTATCTCCAGCTGCAGCAGTGTAGACAGTAACATGTTCAAAGTTAAGTGCATTATAATTTATGTAGTATGCTTTCTCAGGACGGGGATGACCACAAGTAGATTGAGCTGGATTAAAATATATTTAAAGAAAAATTGGAGTGAATGAACCAATGTGATTTTAGTATGAGTGACTCCTAACCTGTAATGATGACTTTATTAGGTTAAAATCTGTATCTTTTAGCATGAATTTAAAAGAATGCTCAGTAATCACTAAATTTAAAATGTTATTTTGTAGTAAATATGGGCACTTGAATGAATTCAGTTGATGGAAGCGTGGTCAGATGAGGTTGAAGCCATAGATTGGATGTCCACACAATCCAGCTTGGTGTTTACTCCAGGTCCAGAGGCAAATTATCTCACAAATCCAAAGTGCCCACTGAGGATGGCTCAGAGAGACACTATAGGCTGATCCATGAAGACCTATCAGTGTTATTGGAGGGGCACTTCAGAATTCATGCTAGGTAATGATAGTGTTGTATTATATCCCCCCCTTTATTTTTTGAGATACTGTATTTAAAACATATTAAGTTGAAAAGTATTTTGCAATTAATGTTTGGTTGGAAATTTGGTTTTCAGTTAGGTGATCAAATCAGATTAATGATACTTTTTATCCAGCCAGTGGCTGACCAGTATTTTTTTTGTTGTTGGTAAAGAATTTGGCAATTCTATTTAATCTTGAAGGACTGAATTATTTCATGAATTGTCACCAGGGATTTTGTTAAAATTGCTGTTAAGATAATGCATTATGGTGGTTGTAATGTGTTTGTGTGCATCTGTGTGCTCCATGAAGATGGCCCTCCATTTTACCCATCACCATCAAATTAGCTAATTCATTCTAACACAGAGGTATTGTCTTCCTTCTTCAGAATTATATAGAGTTAGATTACTACTTAAGATGACAAAGTCATAATAAAATGAGTATTATATTATTGTATTAAAATAATTTTATATGAGAATATATAGAAGAGTATTCAGAAAATGTGGGTGGAAAACTTTTGTAGAATGTGAGAGAGCAGTTTTGGTGTCTTGCCATCCTCCAAATGAAATTTCTTCATTGAAGGTTTTACTTACTGTTTCCCCTCTGCATAGCTGGAAGGAAATGGCTTCGGGCAAAAGGGAAAGCCATCAGTTCTTGGCAGCTAAAGGTGCAATGAAGTTTGGAGGAGTGAAACCTTTCTGGGTGGTAAGGAAAAATGCCAGACCATAATATAGAGGGCAAGGAGAAGGGAATGCCTTGAACAGTGCCAGTAAACACAATTATTCTGCCATAGACAAATTCGAGTTGACAATTCTATATAGAATCAAATTATTCTATAACCTTTTACCCCCGCTGAGAAAAAAGTTGTTTCTTTTTCTCTCTATAAAATAACAACTGTATTTTAACTCAGAACATGCTGTTATTGCTTCTTTAATACAGGAAATGGAATGCCATTGGATTTTTATAGTGAT